GGAATAGGCTGTCAGGTGAGTTCTTGCCCTGAAGATTTAGCCATGGAAAATGGCGATGAACGGGAAAGGACTATTCCCACAGGGTGATCGCAGTGCGAGCTGAGCGTCAGGCAGCGTTTGACAGCAACAGCTGGAGGCATCAGGTGGACATGGTAGGAGTTACTGAGCTGATGTTAGCTAAAAATACCATTTGGTGGAGAGATATATGAGGCTCTGAGAAGCTAAGGAGCTACCTAAGAAGTTCAAAGCCAAGCACAGTGGCTCCTACCAGTAATCCTAGCTACTCAGGAAGCTGAGATCTAAGGACTGTGGTTTGGAGCCAGTCCTCAAAGGCAAGTCAGTGAGATTCTAATCTCCAATTAACCACCAAAAAAACTGGAAGTGGAGATGTAGCTCAAGTGGTAAGGGGTTGGCCTTGAGTGAAAAAGCGCAGAGTCAGAGCTGAGGCCCTAAGTTCAAGTCCCAGTACTGGTGTACACACACACACACACACACACACACACACACACACACACACACACACACACACACACACACACAGAAGACAAAGCAGGAGGAGAAGGAAGAGGAAGAAGAAGAGGGAAAAATAATTCATAATTCAATCCCAGGTCAGTAGACACCAAAGACTGGGATTTTTCATCAGAATGTACATTGACTGTCTGGACCCTGGGCTGTCTTGTCTGGGGCAGGGGAAGGAAGCAGGAGGAGCCAAGATATGAGGTCTGTGCTGCTCTGTGACTAGGACAACATATCCAAGAGGCCTCCACACAGCCAAGGGTGCCGCAGTGACTTCACTGTCCTGACCCTCCCTCCCTCCTCCTCTACCGGAGATGTCTGCCTTCTGTCTCCCTCCCTCCTCATCCTGGACATCTGGCTCTCAGCAGAGCCAGCTGCTCTCCCCCAAATCCTCCAGTATGGAGACATAAACCACAGTATCCAACAAGTGTGCTGTACCTGCCCCTTCCTCTTCTATTCCTTCTTCTAGTCTGTCTCCCTCCTCTTCTCCTTCACCTTGTATCCCTTCTTTCCCCTTCCTTCTGCTTGCTACATGCTCTAAGACAAAAGGACCAATTAACGTGGCTGCCACCCCCACCACAGAGCTGCACACTGCTCCGAGGGTATTGGCATCCCTACCAGGGCTGCCTAAGTGGTCCCTGGAAACCATGGCTAATTAGGAAAGGATTGCATTCATTCTTCCACAGTCTGAGCACTACAAAGGAGGCTTTTCTCAGCTAAGCCAAGATTGCTACCCTGAAGCATCGATCACCAGGGAGACAGCTGGGATTACCTGCCACTCATAAGGTGACATTCTCATCTGTTGCTTCTACCTTGATGTGGGGGCCTGGATACTGGGCATCCCTGACTCTGCTCAAACACACCTCCTCCAGCACCACCAGCCATGTGATCTGATAAGTGTACTGGAGACTTGCATGTTTATCTGTGCAAGTATAGTTTTTGTTTTGTTTTGTTTTGTTTTTTTGTTTTGTCGGTCCTGGGCTTGAACTCTGGGCCTAGGCTCTGTCCCTGAGCTCTTTAGCTTAAGGCTAGCACTCTACCACTTGAGCCATTTGAGCCACAGCACCACTTCTGGTTTTCTGGTGGTGAATTGGATTTTCCCGCCACAAACCAGTGTTAGCAAAGTGAATTACCACTTCCAAATAGACCTATGATAATCTAATTTCCATGTACTTGGTTGGCTGAGATAAAGATTACACTTAGATATTTTCCAAAACAGGACAAGCAGAGATAGCATCTTTTCATGTATGTATACAAGTCTTGGAGCTTGAACTCAGGGCTAGGTGCTGTCTCTGAGCTTTTGTGTTCAAGGCTAGCACTCTGTGACTTGAGCCACAGTTCCACTTCTGACTCCCCCCCACCCTCTCTCTAGTGTTTGATTGGAGATGATAGTCCTAGGAACTTTCTTGCCAGGGCTGGCTTTGAACTACAATCTTCAAATCTCAGTCTTCTGAGTAGCTAGGATTATAGGCATAAGCCACCAGCGCCTGGCTTGGGGAGCACTTTGTGGTCATCCTGAGTTGCTGTTGTCAGGAAAGAATATCCTGCCTGAGGATGTCTCTTATTATGGTAATTTCAGAGCACTGCTAACCTTGAGACCCCAGCCTTTGTCCGTCTGAACCAAGAACATGAATATGAAACAAAGCCCAGCAGCCTTCATTACAGCTCTGTTGAATCTCAGATGTGTTTCTATCCAAACATTTGGGGAGCTTAGGGCTCACCAGACATTGATGGGGGTCTGCTACCCAAAAAGAATAGCTGCTTGCTTTATGGAATTTCTTCCTTTTGCCAAAAAAATGGAATAATTGCCACTCAGCAATAACACCACTAAATAGCAAAATTTACCATGTATAAGGCTAAGAAAGTGCTCAGCAACAATCAGATGCTTAATCTATGTCCCTGCCCCCTTGGGACTGCCTTCAGGCACAGTCACAGCTTAACTATGAGAATGTATGTCAAGAGTAAGCAGCGAATGTGCTTTGTACATTATTTTCTGTTTATGGAGAATGCGACTAGTCTGGGTGGGTGGCAGCAGAATGCAAGATCAATGGAAATTTATTCTCACCAAATCTTCCAAAGACCACAGGATATAGCTTTTCTTTTTAGAGAGAGAATGGTATTGACTCATCTGTCAATATACTTTTACTCAGTGCTAACCTGAACAAATCAGAAGCCACTTCACCCCTCCACCAAAAAAAAAAAAATTCTCGTTTTAGTTAGAGAAGACAGTTTTGGTGTAGATAAAGAAAAAGACCCCCCCTATATACACACACCTGAAGCACTAAAATAACATCCCATTTGGCTCTCATTCCCATTTTATGGACAAGCACTCAGAAAGCAGAGAGGTTAAATGACTTGCTCAAGTTCACACAGTTGGTAAGTAGCAATAAAGTGTTTGTTCTAAGTCTGCTTAACTCTTGATAGGGTCAGAGTCAAAGTGAAGCTCAAACTGACCTCCCTATTGATTAAAGCAATTGTGGAAAACAAAGCATTTGACTGCTCTTCCTTTCAACCCAGTCCTTAAGGTGGTATGGCTATAGGTATCTGGCTTTTATGCCTTTTTCTGTAGGCAGACTCTGTTGCCTTTGTCCATTTCTGTCTGCCTGGCTGGATATCTTTCTCCTTCCAGGCTGACTGTTCCCCTCCCCCACTGACATCTTCCCACGTTTGCCTAGCTTCTCTCTCTCCTCTCTTCTTCCCTCCCTCCATCATCTCTCTCTCTCTTCCTCCCTCCCTTCCTCTTCTTTCTCTCTCTCTCTCTCTCTCTCTCTCGCTCGCTCGCTCGATTTCTCTCTCTCTCTCACACACACACACAAATTGAGACCCACACCTTCCCACCACACACCCATATGCAAAATAAAATTAGAAATACCACCTGACTATCAAGGTATTTAAGGAATGGAGATGTTCAATCAATATGGCCCAAATCAAGCACTCCAGGCTCCTTCCTTCCCAAGCCAGGCTCCTTCCTTCCCAAGCCATTATAAGAGGCAGCCAGAGTTGGCCAAGGGGCCAGAAAGCCGGCTGTCCTGTTTCACAAGGCTGCTCTGAGGGGGAATAGGCCACTGGTGCTTCCCAGGGCCACTGGAACTTATAGCACTACCAGACTCTCAAAGGCCACCACCTGGTATGCTATTCTGCTTGTATATAAGATCCTTCCAGAACATGTGAGGTTTCCTGGCCCCCTTTTTATTTTTATGTGTGCTGATAAAATACAGAGAAAACAGTGTCTGATGATTCAAAAATAGAGGCTGAGCTGATCAGCATATGGCCCTTGCTTCAAGGGATTGCTCTTGTTTTAATCAACCAGTGGAGAAAACAATAAGCATTTCTGGATTCTATTTGCCTGCTGCCAAAGGAGTGGAGCAGGCAGCTTGGTGGAGCTCTAACAGCTGGGAAACTGAGGCTAACAGAAGCCCCTGTGACCCTACAGTGTTTCATGTTCTAAACCTGTCCTCATTTGTCACATGGTGGTGTCACCCCCCTCTGGGTGCTTCACAGCACCCATTGGGGAAATGTGACCTCTGGGTAAACAAAGGAGAAAGGAAGAGGGAGGTGGGTGGGGGTGGGGCTCCAAGCAGAAGCTCCAGGTTCCAGGTCTAAATCTGGATAAGCCTCATTGTCCTTCCTTCCCAGAAACCAAAGCTGCTCCAAGTTCCCAGGATAGGTGCTTGATTGTATAGAGAGGCTGGGAACTGGAGCCTAAAGGCTCAAATGAGAGACCGACCCAGGCTGTCTTCACCGACTCTATGAAGGTGGGCATGAGCTGAAGCTCCTTGGAGCCCCAACCTTCTCATCCCTGGAATGGGGCTCATCCAACTCCTCAGATCGTGCCAAGAAGATTCATGAAACCACCTCACGCCAAAGGCTTAGCCCACCAGTGCCTGGGACCTAAGAAGGGCCGCATCTGTAGTGTCCAGCAAGCTGCTCTAAGACACAGACCTCTGCTCCCTCCAGGCAGGCTCTGGGTACGGGGTTTTCTGTCGGTTGCCATTTAAGCTTCACGCCTCTCTACAGATGAGGATACTGGAATGTAAGATCGCACCCGTAGTGAATGGTGGATCTTTAAGCCCAGGCATAAAGACTCAGGGCGGCTTTCCCCCCTTCCCCCGCCCCAGACCATGACCACAGCCCTTTAGCTAATCGACACGGGTGTTGTCTAGCTACGACGCCCCGCCGAGCTCTCAATCCCCCAGGTTTCCAAAGCCCACAGCAGGGAGGGTAATTGGTCACTGCCAGGGAGCCGGGAGGAGGGAGGAGGAGCAGGGGCTGGCTAGAGCATCCACTTCAGGGCTGAATCCGCAGCTCCCAATAGGCACCGGCTCTGAAAGTCAGGCAGGGCGCCCCAGCCCGCCTAAGAGACGCGGGGAAGGGCGGGGATGCGGGGGGCAAGTCCACGGCTGAGCCGGTGGCCGGAGCCCCGCCCCCAGGAGCGGAGGTGGAGGGGGGGCGCCAGCTGCCGTCCCCGCCGCCTCCCGGTCCCCACTCGCTGGCGCCCAAGTGGGAGGGCAGCAGCTGCCCGCTCCCTCCTCCCACACCCCCGCTACCTGCCCAGTCCCCCGACGCGGAGCGGGAGGCGGCTGCGAGCCAGCCGGGCCGAGCCCACAACTTTGCAGCCTCGGGGAGGGTGAGAGCCGACGGCGTCCGGGGCTCTCCAGTGGTCGGCGATCAGAGCTCGGTGAGTTCATTTCCTTACCCCGCGGCGGCACCGGCCGGGCGGGGCGAGGGGGAGGTTGGGGACGGGCGGCTTCCCAGGCGTCCCAAAGGCAGTGGCCCGGGAGCCCGCGGCCGCCCG